TTCCCTCTCAGTTACTGCTTTTGCTGAGGTGCGCTCCCCTCTTTCTACTCCTCTTCCTGCTGCTGTCTTTGACAGCTCCTCTCGGTTGTCTCCTCTTCCTCCTCCTCCGGACCCTGCCCATCCGCCTCTGGTCTGTTCTCCCGCTTCCTACCCTCCGTCTTTACTCAGTTTATCCATGCCCTCTAACCCTGACTTTGCTGACCCTGATCTTCTTTAACGTGCTATCATCCTCTTTCACCTTTGTTTCTTCCTTGTTCTCTGTTGTCTATTCTTCAATGGAACGTTCGAGGTTATTACACCAATTTCCTTGAACTCCAACTTCTGATTTTGCGGTTTTCGCCCATCTGTGTCTGTCTACAGGAGTCGATGCTTGGTGCTCGTCCTGGTCGCTTTCGTGGCTATTCCTTTCTCTCCCCCCTGTTGCTGGGGCTCCTAACTCTTCTGCTCTCTTGATTTGCTCGGATGTTCCCTATGTCCCCATACTTTTTCCTTCACCTCTTCATTGTGAAAGTGAACAACCTATGCCTTATTCAACCTTAACATTCTGGTGTTATACTAATTACTTTTGAATTTGAATGTAATTCAAAGTCAAAAGTAAAGGGAACTAGATGGATGACACAGGTCGTACAACGAACATTTGTATCCAAGAGGAACCTCTGGAAAACGTATAAATCTACGATGGACATCATTAATTATGTGATATACAAAAGGGCACTAAACTCGGCAACCCAAACAATCAGATAAACCAAAAGAAACTACGAAAGAAACATTGCCCAAAACATAGAGAAAGATCCCAAATCGTTTTATGACTGTATAAGAGGAACAGTCAAAACAAAGGACTCAGTAGGTGTGGGAACCGACCTGTGAGATTTATATTTATTTAATTTATATGAATTTATATTTACGTTAATTTATATACTTCAATAGCAAATTGTATAATGATAAGTGGACTGTATTTCTGCAATAATCTCATAATCTCACAAATCGATCCTCTACACATTAGGGGGGTTTGTTAAATTTATATATATGCAGCCAATCAAACTACAGTATTAACTACACATTATTAAACATTGAAGAGGTTCCTTATCTTATTTGTACAGCAAGCCTTAGTCCACCAGGTATAACTAGGTTGTAGACACCACATTTTCCCTCTTTGAGGTAGCTTCCATCACCCTGGTAACTGATGCACAAAGCATGCTTCCTCGTCTTGACCTGTCAAAAGGGCGCTAGCTGTAAAGCCAGAATCCTATATATGACAGGTATATCAGAGAAACACTGTACATGGAACAATGAAGACCTGGCTTAATTACTTTTAGTTTGAGGCTACCACGTGCTCTAACCGGGTCACACTATATAATGACATTAATGGCCACAAATGAAAGATACATGGGTTTCGGAAGAACACTTAACTTGATTTGTTGACAGCGTGTTGATAATGGTACACCTTTGGTTTCCATAACACTACGTCCAAGTAAAATTAACAGGAGCCGAATTTTCTCCCGTGAGCCTCTGGTCTCAGTATAAACAATGGCTGCCCCTCCTTCCTCACTCTGACGCCTGGCTTACATTGTCCAGATGACAGAAAGTGATAGAAGGGTCACATTTACTCTACTTTAATATTGATAATTAAGTTAATTTATATGAGATGTTTTTATGATGGTAAAGTCCAAAGACTAATGTATTTAAGAATAATTCCCACCATAATAGGTGGTGAATATAATAGTATGTGGTGATGATATCCCGTTTTCTATAGACGGTAATTCCACTACAAGTTACGTTTTCTATGGGTAACTTGTTTATACAACACAGCTCTTATTATCTGTCTGTATGATATATTAAATGGTGTCGGATTTTCCGATAGTAGGATCCGTAATAGATGAGACTAACCAAGTAATAATTGATGATAAAAGGGCAGTAAACACTAAATTAATATTTTACATCAGTTTTCACACTGGAAAGGTTAGGTGACATCCCATCACCAACACAAATGTTTGAAGGAGGGAAGGAGAATGAATTTAGGGATTTATCCATAACATGCAACATAATCAACCTATCAATGTTCTACATTGATAAACTAAAAGACTCAAAAACCCCATGTGTGGATGGAATCCAATCCAAAGTCTTAAAAGGATCTGACAGAAAAACCATGGCTACCACTGAAACCACTGTTCACAAAATCTCTGGACCAGGGGAATTACTAGAAATGTTTGCAAATGTTTTCCTCTAGATTAGGAATATGCAAGTGTCACCTTTATTTTCAAAAAATACCGAAAGAGCTCAGCAGAAAACTACCGTCCGATCAGCTTGACATCACACATCTGTAAGCTCATAGAGAGAGTCATAAGTGAGGGAATCATTCATCATTTTTCAGTGAACAATCTTGAACAATTGACACTACATAGGTTTCTTAAAAATAGACCCTTCCTTACAAACCTGCTCACATTTTTAGTAACGGTAATCAAATACATCGACTTAGGAGTTCTGGTAGATGTAGCATACAAGAATTTTGCTAAAGCCTTTGGTAAGGTATCGCTTGAAAGAATGGCAAGGATATTACAGGCCCATGTAAATATTAGAATTGATAAAACAATGGTTGAAGAAAAAAATAAACGCTCGGTCTAAATGGGAACGAATCTGAATAGAGAAATGTGGTAAGTTGAATGCCATAAGGGTACATTTTGGGGCCTACCCTATTTTTGTCAAGTACATCACTGATGGACAGATGATATCAAAGATGATAATATTTCAAACCATCATAAAATTTGCAGATGACAAAAGTGTATGGTAAAGTGGGAAATGATAATGATATTGAAGCCTTTCAAAGAGATCTATATGAAATCCACAAATGATCAGAAAACTGGCAAATGCTTTATAATATCGACAAATGGAAGACCATGCATGTGGGGCATAACAATCCAGGCCACAACTTCCAAATTAATAGAATTACATTATAGCAGATTGATGAAGAAACGGAGCTTGGAGTAAAAATCTGCCACTCACTAAAAGTTGCACAACAGGTAGGAAAACCTAACCAAACCCATGAAATAATCAAGCGTACTTTTGACAAGAAGAAAAAGAACGTAATGATTCAACTATATAAATCTCTGGTGCGTCTCCATTTCGATTACCGTATCCAAGAAAAAAGGCCTCATTTTCAGAAGGATTGAAATGCAACCGCTCTGGCGAAACTGCAACACTGGGCAACGAAAGTCATTCCAGAGCCAAGTCATCTCACATATTAGGAACGGTTGAAGGCCACTGGCTATCAACACTGCAAACCAGGCATGACGGAGTGGATCTAAATGAAACTTTTAAAATACTGAACAAGATAGAGAATGTTGATCCAGACAATCACTTCAAAAGGGTCAGATGTAACACAAACAAGGAGCAATGGTTTCAAGCTCAACAAGTGACATGTAGGACTGAGAACAGGAAGTACTTTTTCACCAACAGGTTTATTAGCCCATGGAACTGCCTACACGCCGAAACCGTAAATGTCAAAACTGAGTAAAGTTTTAAAATCTACCTTGATAAGATCATCAAGGCAAATGTGGGGGACCTTCGACAAGCCAACGGCTTCCTGTCATCGTCGAGGCCACTAGGGTTGTTGGCCCTCGGGTAAATCAGGTAAAAGATAAATCAAGTAAAACCAAAAAGTGCCAAATTTTATCCAACTAGTTTCCTATCTTGTGCCTCAAACTCACACTTTTTGTGAGCTTGAGTTTTTTTTATTTTTTTTTTTTTAGTGAGTTTTTTTTATGAGTTTGAACTCACACACAAAACTCAAATTTTGCTGCAATGTAACTCTAAATAAACTTATCTGTTAGATTAAGGACCTGCCCAAAACACCAGGGCAGGTCCTACACCCCAATCAACCGTGTTAGTATTCACATAGTTGTATTCACCTAGTTGTGCTTGCGGAGGTTGAGCTCTGCTCTTTCGGCCCGCCTCTCAACTGTCAATCTGTTACTGTTACTAACTACTAAATAATTATTTTTTCCACAACCCCCCCCCCCCCAGGAAGCAGCCCGTAACAGCTAGGTACCTAGCTGTTAGGTACGTAGTCTTAACTCCCTAGGTACCTATTTACTGCTAGGTAGCAGGGGCATCAGGCTGAAAGAAACTCTGCCCATTTGTTTCTGTCGGCGCCGGGAATCGAATCCGGTCCACAGTATTACGAGTCCCCACGCACTGTCCACTCAGCTACTAGACCCTTAGTGACTTTGCAAACATGTAAGAACACCAATGTTATGGACTCTCACAAACCCAATGTACCTTCTTATATATATATATATATATATATATATATATATATATATATATATATATATATAAATAAATAAATAAATAAAATTATAAAGTTGTGTGGACCAAACGTCTTGATAATTATCTAAGGCACTACACTAGAAACAAATATATTTTCGTTTCAAAGAGTTTGAATTTCGTCAATCAACCAAAGCACAAATCCTATGCAAATCAAGTGTTCTAAACTGTGGAATGGCCTTCCTAATAAGGTTAAAGACGACATCTCTCGACTATTTAAAATAGGGGAACAAAGATCTACCTAAATAATTTTATGTAACCAAATTTACTCACCTTTTCTAATCCTATACGTCGACCCATATTTTGCTATTTTTGTAAACACTATTTACAAAATTTGCACAATTACTAAACTGCCATTTCTATATATAATTAAAAATTGATTTATTATTCTTCAAATCTCCTCAACAATTACAATATTAATTACTATTTCCAATTATCATATAAAAAAATTCATGAATTTTTAATTCAACAATTAATTTTATTTTTCTTATTTAGTATTAGGTATTACCCCTTTAATCTTGTATGGTATTCTCCTAATTATGTTTACATTATGCACAAAATGCTCTGTGTATTAGTGGTTTTATATATTTTACTTTTCCTACCAATGTATTTTCTACTTCTCATGTATCTTACTATGTACACTTGCATAAATAAATTCTTATCATTATAATTCTTACCACTTTGCAGTTGGGGCAGGGTAAAGGTGCAGTGCATCTTCTCATGCACACAGTACAGTACATTTGTAAATTTTCTGTTAAAAGTGAACTGCAGTACCCATCTTCAACACTCACAATCTCACCTGAAAATGTTACATTTATTTAAGATAATAGAGGCACACGGAACCACAATGAGCTCTTGTACCAGATCTGGAACACATTTTGAATGTCACCCCTAAATCGTGATATTTTTTCAATATTTTATATAGCTATATTATATAGTCACACAATTTAATTTCTAAGAAATAGTAACTTTTTAAAGATAATCAAGTAAATATACACAGTAACTATACTTGCAAATGAAAGGAACCAAATATGGCTCATGTCGAGGTTTCATGTCGAGCCTATTGCAATCAACATATTACAAGGAATTATATTAAATATAACAAAGCTTAAAAACATAAAGTTACAGGAAAATGCTGATGGCCTAAAGGCCAATGCAAGGCAGCTCTTACTTACATCCACCCAAACTTATTTAAATATGTCTAAACTACACATGAAACAATCCAAAATCCCATGTCTAATCCAGTAATTTACAGCATAAATAATCCACCAAATTTTCAACCAGGTATTTACCTCCGAGATGAGTTTAAATACTATTCTCAACCAGATCCAAAGATAAAATAATAAATTTCTAATTAACATTGTGTAACCATGTCTACTTGGTTATAATCATCATCCTATATGTCACCCTGTGTTGTTATTGTGAACATTAAATACTAGCTGTACTTTCCTATACCTATAATTTCTATATTAAATATTCTATGCCTTTCATCATTTATTATCACTTCATAATTTTAAATCAGTTACAAATGTTTTTTTAACAATTAAAATGTTAGTAGTACAAAGTGGCAGTCATATCATATATAGTGTTCAAGTTGTGTTAGAGCAGCAATGTATCCATCCAGAAGCAACTTATCTTCAGGTCCAAAAGTACCTTTTAAGATAAATTGCTTTTAGTGCGCATCCTTGCTTATACTCAAAGTATGTCTGCGGTATATGTTTGACTATTGTATTTTACTCCCTGTCAAATTCTACCACCTATAGCTACTTAACTCTGCTCATCTGAATATTTCTGATGCTATTAAGATTTAACAAGACCATTAAACTATTCTATTACACATCTTTTGTTGTGTAAACCTCAATAAAATGAGACCTACAGGGAAACCACTGGCACCAACATGGGAAGAGATCAGCTGAACAGCTGAGTTCCAGAAAATATAGCACAAAACTCACGTAATCCCCCTTCGATGAAAAACACAAGAGAAAAGAGGTGAAAGTCACCACTGGACAAAGCTGGAAACAGTGAACTCCCAAAGATGTAAACACAACAACAGCCCACCCTAGCAACTTGGCCCCACAAAGAAACCGAAGCACCTTCACTCTCAGGAGCGAAGACCTTGTAAGAATGAATACACAAAGGGGGAGACTCCTGAGCCTTCTCATGGAAAAGAACCCTAACTGAAGACAGAGGCAACGCTATAGCAACTAAGTGGATAGTCAGGGAGCCACCGAGGAACCCTTCACAGAAAAATGTTAAATTGCAAAACTATATTACAGTTTCTCATTACTTATAACATAAGTTACCTGGGTTGATGTCTCTATCAGCAATCAGGTGGCGCCTTTGGGAGTGATTGTAGGCCAGCTTGACAGCACTGCTGAGTGACGGTATGGCTGGGTTATGGTCAGTTAACTTAGGGGGTTCCGGGTTTATATATGCAAAACATGGGTCAAAGGGGTTTAAAGACTCAGCTGAAGCATCGAATGTCTTGTCTTTCCTCTCCGATATTAATTTCAGACAAATACTTTTCCTGTCTAATAATTTTCTACGTGACTGTACACAGCCAAGTTCCAGAGCCCGGTCAATGTCATCTAAGCATTTTGTATACTGCTTCAGGTCATAAAGCACCACAGATCGTGACTCATAAGCTTGGGCCAATTCTTCATACTTGTCTTTGCCAGAGTTCTGAGGACTATCTGTGGTTGTGTCTGGATGTGGCGCAGATAATATGGCCAAATTATAAGAGTTTAATGCCTGAATTAGATAATGAAGGCGGTAGGCAATGTCTCCCTGTCTACAATGCACATAAGACTCATCTTTTGACTTGCTTGATGGCTGCAGAACTGGCGTTAGAGTCACATGGGCTTCATCCAGGCTCCACATATAAGAAAACATTTCCTCGGTTGTGTGTTCTGGCCTCATTATAGTCATCAGTTCAGAAATCTTGTTGCTTAGCAGCAATCTAATTATAAGCTTTTCGGATAGAGTTTTAATATTGTCTTGATCCATGATGATGTCTTAAACTTCAAGGACCTGAATATAAGTTATTCTATTAACTTTGATTTAAAATTAATTAAATTTATATACAATTTACAAGATATGAGTGCATTAAAGTATATGAAATTTCAGGAACTAAATACTATGTACAAAACCCTATCTATAATTATCAGATGATTATTAAAAAAAAAAATATTCTCATCACCTTTACCAAACTTTGTTGTTTGATGATCAAGTGAATAAAATTAAATGGATAAATGTAAAACATACATCATGAAGTTAACTCTTACACTGCACAGCACATCCTCAGATGTTTGACAATTTGTATGCAAGGGCAGTAGGCCCAGATGGAATACTAAAGGATATTCCATCTATTCCGATATTCCACCATGGATACTAAAGAGGGAGCAAAAGTACTACCCTACCACTCTCAAGTGTTTACAACATGTCACTGGTAACAGAACTGCCAAACATTTGGAAGACGGCTAATGTAGTGCTGATATACAAGAAGGGAGACAGACAGGAGGCACTGAACTACAGGCCAGTGTCCGTAACTTGCATACCATGCAAGGTGACAGAGATGATTGTGAGAAAGAAACTTATGGAATATTTTTGGAGAGAGTGAATTTTGTAACACAATACCATATGGGTTCAGGGATGGCAAATCTTGGCCCACAGGCCAAGTTTTATAATATTATAATTGTATGGACAGGTGACAAAAATTAGGCAAGAAAGAGAAGGGTGAGTAGACTGCATATGTTCTGCATGCTGGAAATCCTTTGACACAGTACCTCGTGAGAAAGTAGTGAATAAGTTGAAGATTTAGGTAGGCATTACAAGGAAGGTATTCAAGTTGATAAAGAAGTACTTAAGCAACAAAAAATAGTGAGTCATTGAGGAGTGAGGTCTCACATTTTAAAAGTGATGAGACGTCACTAGTGTAGTCCCACATAGATTCAATCTTTGGACGTATCCTGTTTGATATATGCAAACAATCTCGTTTGACTATCAATAGACTCGTTCCTATCAATGTTGACGATGTGAAAATTATGAGAATTACCACAGGAAAATAACAAGAGGGTACAAGATGATCTGGGCAAACAAAAGGAATGGTCCAACAAATGGTTACTAAAGTTTAACTCATGTATATGTAAAGTAATGAATCTAAGTGGAGGGAGCAAGAGGCCAGATAAAGGACACCAAATGAGAGACAACGTCCTCTATGAAATGGACACCGAAACACTTGGGAGCTGATATTACACCGAACCTGTTTCCTGAAGCCACATAAAACGGATATCATCAGTGGTGTATTCAAGGCTGGCTAAGATCAGAATAGCCTTTAGAAATTTATATAAGGAATTTTTTAGAACCTCGTAAACCACATATGTCTTATCAATCCTGAAATATGCGGTTCCAGAATGTAGTCCATACTTTAACAAGCATAAGACGAAGTTGGAGAAGGTTCAATGGTATGCCACTAGAATAGTCCCAGAACTACGAGGTATGAGCTATGAGGAAAGACTGCAAGAATAGCACCTAACATCGCTGGAAGACAGAAGAGTTAGGGAAGACATGATTATCACATACAAAATTCTCAGGTAATTGAAAAGAGTAGATAAAGACAGATTATTTAACAGGCTTCCACAAGGGACACATGAGGAAACTGAGTCCCCATATGAGCCATAGAGACATTTTTTTCAGTCTATCCATCCATTTTATCCATTTTTTTTCAGTCTATCCATCTATCTTTCTATCCAAATATCCATCCATCTATCACCCTACCCATCCATCTATTTATCTATCCATCCAAATATCTATCTATCCATCCAAATATCTATCTATCCATCTAAATATCTATCTATCTATCCATGTACCTAATGGATAGATCATCGGAACTGATCAGACGAATCTGACAGATGATCAGATCAATTGGATTCGTACTCTCAATCCATCTATCCTTCCTTTTAACTATCCATCCATCTACTCATCTGTCTATCCATCCATCTACACATCTGTCTATCCCTCCATCTACTTATCTGTCTATCCATTCATCCATCCATTTATACATCTATCTATCCATGTATGCATTATTCTGTCTACTAGTCTATCAATTCATCAATCCATCTATCAATCAATTTATTCAGCCATCTGCATTTATCAATCTACCTGCCTAGCAACACAAATTCCCAACACAAACACAGAGATCAGTATAAGGTTACATAGAGGAAAGTTTCCGTAAATTATACACATACAGATCCGAAAAAAAGTTACGTAAAATGGAAATTTATCCCAGAAAACATACCCAACACATTAATCACACTGATATATTCGGGGGACCATGCAATGAAAATCCAAGTATTAAAAGGACATGTTGCTCAATGAATGGATGAAAACATATACTAAACAAAAACTTTACCTCTAATACTTATAAAAATGCGAGAGACATATGTAAAAGACTTTATAAGGATTCCTAACCTTTACAAGGTTAGGTGAGGTATCATAGGTTCTTTTAAAAAATAATATTCCATATATTACACCTCTTCCTCCAATTTTCGTATGACAACACTTTCCCTGTCATTAAGGCAATACAATGATTAACTAGCTATCTGACATACTTTGAGGGTATGTACTTTGCTAGAAATGAGTAAGGAGATAAAAACAAAGCATGATTAAAACTAGCTTGAAACATTACTTTTTGCATAGGAGAGATATCTAGGTGTGAATGTAATGATGCACTTACTAGTGGAATGATTACATAATCATTGGAAAGGTACGCGGTTATGTTAGGTGTTGGAACATATGTTTTTTTAAAAACACTTGATAAGAATTTGTTGAGATGCTAGGCATGACGGCATAGGCTCTTGTGGGAAATTTCCACATCAATTATGCAAATACAATTTTTTATGTTTTGTACTAATTAAATATTAAAGAAATTTAAGTTAGTTAATCCTGTATGGGATAGCATATGTGCTAAATTTGCTTCAGAAAACGAGATTATCATTTACTGCATTGCTAGCATCTCGCACCAAAAATGTATATACTAATTAGTTTAATACTAAACCCAACAGTCAGATGCATGAAACTAATGAATTACTCCTCCCTAAATTCAACTGGATTATCAGTAACTAAACCCATTAAACGAAACTTTTCCTACTGGAATCCATAAGAAACGTTCTGTTGAAGCATCATCCGAATGGTACCGGGAGGAGGGAGGGAGGGAGGAAGCTATTATATGATAGAGAGTGAGGCAGCACACACGAAACCCTGATCGTGATACACAGAGCGTGCTGCTGGTATTTGAAGAGAATAACTATGAAAATTGAGTTTTCGACCAAGACAACAACAGGGAAGTGCTTACTATATCTCTCTTACCCTTTATATACTCGTTATGGCCATTTTGTATATGTTAAAAGGATTAGGTGGTTAGGCATAACTGGAGAGGGTTCTGGGAGTTCTTATACTCCCCAAGCTCGGCCTGACGCCAGGCTCGACATGGGATAACTTGGTCCAACAGGTTGTTGCTTGGAGCGGCTTGCAGGCCCACATATCCACTACAGCCTGGCTGGTCTGGCACTTCTTGAAAGAACTTATCTAATTGCCCCTTGAATATATCCACCGTTGTTCCAGCAGTATTTCTAATGCTTGCTGGAAGGGTGTTGAACGGCTGTGGACCTCTGATATTCAGTGCTCTGTGTCTATGGCACCTCTACTCTTCACTGGTACTATTCTGAATTTCCTTCCATATCTTTCATTCCAGTGTGTTGTTGTTAACCTAACCTAAACTAACATAACTCAGTCTGTTACATGACTAACATAACCAGTAGGCTGCGTGAATCCCAGCTGTCCTGGGTGAGTGTTAATTATAACTCGAGCAGACTGAGTTATTGAATATGAAACAATAACAATTAAAATAATAATAATAATAACACATTGTGCATGGCTATATTGAAACGTTTTTTTCAGGCTGGAGTCAGGGACTACCCTAGAAGCGAGAAATTGGCCTTCAAGTTGAGGTGACATCACCAGAGAGATGATGCCATTACCACCATGAGGTTGACTCATGTGTACTTTACCTGATTCCTGACTCCCAAAGCCATCTAGTCAGATAAGCTGGCTATATTTTATTCATATTAACCATTACTATAAATTTAACCCACTTACCGTTTAATTATGATGTAGTGAAATCAATTATATGTTTAATTATGGAATAGCAAAATTTAATAATTATAACCCCCCCCCCCCCCAAGTGTGTGAAGGAAGTTTATCGGTGGGATAAATATTAAAACCATACAGTCCACTTTTGAAGAAATACATAGAATATAATTCATTTAATGAACTCTTAATTTAATTATTTATTTAATAAATAAATAAAATTAAATAAATAAATGGCCACTGGTAAGCATTTTCCCACACACATATATATATAGTCCTTCGAACTAGATTATGATTTTAATATATAAATGAACTAGTGCAATCAATTAAACAAAAAAATAACCAGTCAAAGCAGAGGGCTAAATAACCAGTAGCCTAACCTCACAAATTCTCTACAATATTAGTGCATGCAATAGTGTTACTAAAAACAAATAATTATAGCAGTATTACTTGCTCCTAACCTCAATTCAGGTAAATAAGGTGATACCAATAAATATGATTTTTTTTTTTGAGATATATACAAGAGTTGTTACATTCTTGTACAGCCACTAGTACGCGTAGCGTTTCGGGCAGGTCCCTGGAATACGATCCCCTGCCGCGAAGAATCGTTTTTTCATCCAAGTACACATTTTACTGTTGTGTTAAACAGAGGCTACAGTTAAGGAATTGCGCCCAGTAAATCCTCCCCGGCCAGGATACGAACCCATGACATAGCGCTCGAGGAACGCCAGGCGAGTGTCTTACCACTACACCACGGAGACTGATATGTACCACCAAAATTATCACTTCATTTTCATAGATTTATCTACAAAAAAATTGTGGTGTTTTATTTCCAGAGATTGATAGAGAATAAATTAATTCCAAACAAAACTGTGGCTTCACTTGCACGGAGTTTTATCCAGTAAAACTGAGGTGTTTTATCTTTGCTGAGTTTATATTCTTCATTGGTTAATAAATATTAATCAATATTACCAGAGGTCGATGAGACCTCAACTACCAACATTAGTTGAAATTATATTTTTCTAAGAAAGAAAATAAATTTAAATTGTAAAATAAAACCCAAATAAAAATATATTGCACTCTGTCCTATTGCACATTATAATCTAGTAGCTAGTTGCCAACCTACATTAAGGTAGGATATATTACCAATGACTAGTGTTGTACTAAATAGTGGACAGCCTAGTGTCATTTAATTATTGTGCAGACCCACCCATATATAGAGTGAAACTATTAAAACGAGTTGTGTTATACATATAATTATATTAGTTCTATGTTATATTATCATATGTCACTATTATATATCACTGTTGAGTGATGAGAAGTGTCACTATACCATTCAATTGCGATTATGATGAGCTAACCTGAGGTATTCCAACAATGACTCTAATTATTACTCAAAATAATCTGTATATAATTATATAAAATTGCCCATTTATTTGGCCAACCTCCTCAAAAGGTAGGATCTCAGCCTAGTGACAGAAATTAACCCTACTAGGCTACTACAATAGCTTGCTCAGCAACTATGAGCAAAACAAAGTACAGCCAAGCAAACAAAGCCATTGCTTACAGTAAGCAATGGCTTACATAGAAACTAGTACTAAACGATCCATTACAGCCTTTAAGGGCCACCTAACAAGGCAGCTTGATGAGTGTGACAACTTATCAAATCAAACACCAATAGATTGTGTGAAGTTAGCTTTACACTTAATAGCTGCTATCAGAAAATATGACAAAAGGGATTATTGGTTCACCGTAGCCTGTGCTGCACAGGGGTTTTACTCTTGAGAAGCTGAATCTAAAACAACAACAACAAGAAGTAAATATGAACAAATTAAGACTCACAGAGATTTATGTGCAAGATGTCTCTTATGCCAACTTAAAGGCTAAAGATCATGACAGCATTTTAACCTACATAGCAGATTATGAGAATCCCATACAAGGAAAACTCAATCCTTTCATTGCAATAGTGTCACAATTAGACACAAAGAAATGTTGTGTCTATTACTTACCTTATGTTGAGTATACCTTGAGTTGGTGTCAGGGCTTAGCATCCCCACGGCCCAGTCATCATCCAGGCCTTCTCGTTGCTGTACTTGTCAACCAGGCTGTTGGACGCAGCTGTTCTCAGCCTGACGTATGAATCACAGCCTGGTTGATCAGGTATCCTTTGGATGTGCTTATCGAGTTCTCTCTTGAACACTGTGAGGGGTCGGCCACTTATGCCCCTTTTGTGTAGTGGAAGCGTGTTGAACAGTCTCGGGCCTCTGATGTTAATAGAGTTCTCTCTAAGGGTACCTATTGCACCTCTGCTCTTCAATGGGGATATTCTGCACATCCTGCCTTGTCTTCTGGTCTCACGCTTCAGACAGCAGCTACAGTTTCATCTAATTCAGCTTCATCTAGTCAGAAGCTGAATTTAGCAGCTTCATCTGATCAGAGTCAAGCTGAGACTCGACTCCCACCAATCAATTTAGCCACTTTCTCACGATCAGATGAGGAAGATTGGGAAATTTTTTGGAACAAATTTGTGGTCCTTGCGGACTGAAAACCCTCCATACCAAAAGGTTGTAAATTTTCCTATTTGCAAGGTTAGTTATCAGGTGAAGCTAAATCAGTTTTATCCCATGTGGGGTTGACTAAAGATGGTTATGACCTCCCTGTCTAGCTCCTTAATTAAGGATAATTGCGCAAATTCAGAAGTAAAAATGATACACTTATAAGCTATTACATTTACCACCACCAGAAACTAAAGCCACTTAACACCACTTCAAGGCTTTAGTCTGGAGGTAGAATCCATGATCAAGACCATCAGCTTGAAGGTTAATACAAGCGAGGCTGAATGAGTCTAAAAAGTAATTGTCCAGGAAAAGTTACCTATAAATTTATCCTGGATAAATTGTGCACCCACTATCACAAAAATATTTTATCTTTATATGAATTTTCAGAGGGTTTATGTGCAGTTGTGCATCAACAACACACCTATAACAAACTTAAACCCCCAATTAAGCTCTCAGATCAAGTGCACACCAATAAAACAAAGAGTACACAAAGTACTCCCAATAAATTAAACAAAATTACTTTCACCCCAAAGTGGAAGACAGGCAGTGTGGGCACATATGCAGTGGATCCTTCGAAGCCTACAGTTACTGTGTCACCCAAGGCGGTGACTCCCAAAGGTGTTGTATGCTGGATGACATGTTTGTCCTGCCTAGAAGAACATTCGATGAACCATTGCATTAATTATCCTGATCGTGTCACCCGTGTCAAGCGACTCAAGGAATTACAAAAATGTACAGGGTTATTCTGGGCACGCAATACTACCACCTGTGAAACCCAATTACAAACCTGCAATAGGTGTAACAAGGGTCAACATCACATAGCATTATGCGGGGATTCAAAATTACTCTCCATTCACCAAGGTGGATGATAATATTTCCACCACAGTAAAGTATTGCAAGGTGCGAGAGAAAATCAGTGTCCTGTCGACAAGGTCCAACAAACATGCGACTTTGCCTACTGCCCATCTTACAATTAAAACCAAAGGGGCCAAGGTCTATACCCGAAGGTTGTTTGACAAGGAGTCCCAGAAAACGTTTGTCACCCTAAAGGTGGCAGATAATCTTAAATTATAGCCTGTAACACAGGTAAAATTGAACATTGTTAATGAACACTGAATGAACCTGTTAACGTCTGCAGGAGGGAAATTACTCACATGCCTAGTATTGAGAATGAAGAGACCAACACCTGAAGACAACAAACGTGCCAAATAGTTATTTAAACACGTACAGAATTGCATCAGTCCTATTTGAGTTACTTCTTCGTTTCTGCATTAAGCTACTTTAGACACGCACTTGAAGACGTCCAATAGCCCTACACGACTGAAATTAGTAACAATCTGTTCGTGAGTAAGTTCTAAGGAACAACAGTTCAAATAGAAATCTAAAATTTGTCAGTAAAATTTGAATATAAACTCCAGTAAATATCCACTAAGGAGAACCCACCTGACTGTCTCACCAACGGTCTGATCTGGAAACAATTATCTACAGCTGAGATGTCTTCCAATATTCCCACCACAGTACAGTAGTGCAAGGTGTGACAGAAAGTCAGTGTCCTATCGATAAAGTCCAACAATAATACGACTATGCCTTCTGTGCGCTCAAGCTTACCATCAAAATCAAAGGGACCAAGGTCTATGCTCAAGGGTTGTTTGACCGAGGGTCCCAGAAGACGTTCGTCACCCAAAAGATGGCAGATGATATTAAATTTAAACCTGTAACATAGGTAAAACTGAAGTTTTCGGAATTCCTTACCAACACTGGAACTCAAGTCTACCAGGGGGTGCAACCATTAGTACGTTTATGCGGTTATGTTCGTCCAGTACCTGCCATTGTAGTGGACAACATTCCAATGGGTCTACATATTAATGGTCTAGGAGCAACTGCCAAATTCCTGAAAGGAAAGAGAGTTAAATTGGCAGATAACAAAGTCACTAAAGCAAAATAACAAAATCTGCCTGTAACACAGGTAAAAGTGGCCTAAACAAAAGCTACATGTAATTGTGACTCACATCAATGCTCTGCTCCCACTGATGACCCAGAGCCATGCTTGACTTTAGTGACTTATTATATTCAGTCATTGAATTAATTAAAACCAAATAAAATTAGTATCCTTGGAGTTAGCAGGAAATGAAGCTGCTTATAGACCTCCAACACCTGCAACTCCAGTATGGGACATCTGTCCTGTACGAACTGCCACACAAACATGAAATATTATGTCCAAATTATTATTACAATAATTCTGACACGGAGTAATTTGCCAGTTCTAAACAAGGGACTCTGACTCTTGTTCCCCCCCCCCCCCCCACTGTAATTATGTGGGAAATTCCAACATCATATGAATTTTAATGGAATATGCAAATACAATTATTGCTGTTTTGAATTAATGAAATATTAAATAAAATTCAATTAGGTAACCCTGTAAGGGATAGCATACATGCTAAATTTACTCCAGAAAATGAGATTATCTTTTATCTTGTGTTACGGAAATTAACCTGTATTCCCCTTATCCGCATATAAGTCATATTTCCCTATCTGTACATATCTAAAAGAAGTTTTACTTGATTCTGGGACACTTGAAAGGAAGCAGGATGCTGCAGTTGGAAGAAATACATATTTTAAGTTTAATTGGGAGAGGCTACGGAGACGACTCCATTATCAAATATGTCACGGCAGTTTGCGAGAGAGGAGAGCTTTCCCACTCCAGGCGAACCCCTAGTGCATGCTTGGTACAATGTGGAGTGATTGGTCGGTGGCAGGTGCTTGGCCAGGTTGACCAATAGCGTTACGCCTCGGGCGTGATGTAGCATGACGCCAGGCGCCTCTGCAGAAGTAGACAGGAGATCTGAGAGACACTTACCAAGGGTCCAGCTGACTGGAGGTGTGCTCAAGCGATTCCCCGTTCTGGAGAGGTATAGGCCTTCAGAGTAAATTTATCAGCTATAGTGTGGTAACGAGGAGGGAGGACTGTTGACTACTGAGGGAGTATGAGGTACAGCCGGATGGTGGAAGATTGCACCTAAGGCTCGGTGACGATGGCACTCCTGGGTAACTTTGAGAGGTGGTGCGGGACAACCCGTGGGCCGTGCATGATGGTGAAGCTGTGTGGAGAATATTTGGTAGCAGTCCTGGTCCGGGGCAGTTCAACAACCGCTTACACAGGAGAAGAATTCACACAACAAAGCTACTTGTGAGGCGGTGGACCAGTTGTTGTTGATGTTGTTTCAGATTTAACTACTCAGAACGAAGTGTCCATGTAACACTGAAATGAATATGGTGAGCCCGTAATTGAGTTCGGTTATTTGCAATAACCTTGTTTCTGTGATATTTGGGTCTAAGTTTAAAATGAAGAAGGGGATTCCTCCTTCCCTGTTTATTTATCGCTTCAGTTTTAGTGCACTGGTTTTAGTCTCGTTTTATTAACATTATCTTGGAGGCGGATGTAGATGCAGAATGCTCACCAGTGAGCCCCATTCCACAATGGCTTTTCTAATCATTGTAGTCACGGTGGAATGTGCATCTAATGCAGCTGCTGTCGTTGGATTAATGTTGAGTTTGATGTGCAGGGCTTCAGTAGCTTCACATTCTAGTAAGTAGTGCAATAGTGGCGCCTCTGCTTCTGTTTCACAGATGAGACACTCTTTAACTATTGGGTTCATTACCTCCCAGCAGCACTTGTAACCAAATTTGAGTCTGTGTATGGCTACTGCAATGTCTCTGGATATCTTTTTGCCTGGCTTGAAAGAGGAATAACCAGTGGCTTCTTCGTACCAAATCGCAGTGGATTGGCTCCGTGACGACTTTTGATAGTTGAGAATATTTTCTTCTTGATTTGCTCCTTAATCTGTGAGAAACTTGGAGGTATTTGATCCTGTACAACAGGTAGAACAGTTGCAGTTTTTGCTGGTGAGTCTGCCTTTTCATTACCATCTATGCCAATGTGATTTGATATCCAATTTAGGGTGATTGACAGCCCTTGATTATGGGCTTCTTTCCCTATATGTTGAATTTCTGTGAGGAGTTGTATATTATCTCTATGCTGACTGATAACAATGCCTAGAGCGAAGATTGTGAGTCTGTATGAATGATGACATCATGTAAAAAAATCTCAATTGTATAGTTTATTGCCTCCTTCAGGGCATATAATTCTGTTTGCAATGTTGAGCACCCACTATTCATGCTCCAGTAATCTTCATGGTTGGTAGTGAAACTGCTGTCCTAGCAGAACCTCTTTCTTGATCAACTGATCAGTCTGTGATGATGTGAGTCGTTGTAAGTCTTGAGATGGTTTCCATTTGTTGTTCTATTATTTCCTTGAGCCTCTGCGGGTCACATGCTGATTTTTTAATTGGTAATCCTTCAATGATTATCTTTAGATTCGATTATTCCCATGGAGGAGGCTGCCGAAAGTGTTGATATGGTCTATCTTCCCCCTTTGTTTTTAATGGTCCATTTCAGGTCCATTTTCTCTAGAATCTTGACCAGATTATCCACCCATGAGCTTGTTCTATATTGGAGGTTTTTCTGAAAGGATCTCTGTATGCTGTCTTTGATCGACAGTCTGGCGGTTGTTCTAATAAGTTTTGCTGCTATGAGGGCTATCCTTTGTTTCACCCTGTTTTCTAATGCTGGTAAATTAGTTTCCATTCTAAGGTTCTCTCTACACGTCCATGTAGGTGCTTCCAGCATTGTTCTCAGAGCATCATTTTGAGACACTTCCAGTTTCTCCCATTGGTTATCACTGAGGGATGTAAGAGCAGGAGCAGCATAGTCAATGAGTGACCTAACTGCTTGAACGTAGTACATTTTGAGTACTGGTAGAGATGCACCCTCTCTAAGACTGATCAGGGAGCGCAAAGCTGAGTTTCTGACTTTACAGCGTTCCCGAAGATATTCAATTTCTTGAGTGAATTTCAACTGGTTGTCTATTATGACTCCTAGGTATTGAAAAGAGGTAATCCACTCAATTTCATGTCCTTGTATTGTGAGTCTTTTGTCTTGAGTTCTCATTTTAACGGCCATAGCTTTTGTTTTATTGCTGTTTATTTTCACTGCTATGCGTTCCGCTTCCCCGCTGATAATATCTTGGCATTTTTGTGCATGGTTCCTTGCACCTTTGCCATTGATGACGACCACAAAGTCGTCTGCGTAGTTAAGAAATTTGGTTTTTGGTAGCTTGAGCTTCATGAATTGTTCCATGAGACAGTTGAAGAGGAAGGGGCTTAGTATTCCTCCCTGCGGAGTTCCATTTTCCAGCCTCTTTGAGGTCGATGTTTTTCCTTGGAATTTGACTTTGGACCAGTGGACCAGTACGTGGAAATGTATTAGTCTGGATAAGCCAGGTGATATCAGTTTCCACCTAACACCTAGTGAGGCGCACTAGTACTGGTGGAGTGAGCCACCCCAAGGGTGTAGTATATGCAATGGTCGGCGTCAAGTGAGGAGTCATTCACTTACAAGAAGATGTCTTAACGTCGTGGATTGATGAAGAGCTATGCTGCGCACCTATGATCTACGAGTCTACGATCTATAAGGTAGTTAAATTACCCTCTAGTTTTTCTCCTTGTGTTAGGATAGGTGTAATATATAAGTACGGATATAATCGGAAAATATGAGAGGAGTCGGACATAAAGCAGTAATATTATTAATTATTGTGTGATTATGTTTTCATGAGTTGGTTAAATAGTGATTTAAAGGCTGTATGCTATTGAAGAGGTGTCTTAAAATAAGACAAATAACACACACAAAACCCTGATCGTGAGACATGTTGCATGCCACTGGTATTTGAACAGAATACCTATGAAAACGGACGTCTTCGACCACGACAACAACAGGGAAGTGCTAACTTTATCAGTCTTCCCTTTTATGTATTTTTTTTGTCATTTAGTGTATGAGCTAAAGTATGAGTATGTATGTATGATATAGGAGTAAGTGGTAAGGCGGCATGAATCCCAGCCCTTTGGAGTGTATGTTAATGACTCAAATAACTTGAGTAGACTTAGTTATTTAACATGCGATAATAATACCGAGGGGGGGGGGGAAATAGCTCTCGCTTGTTCATTATTCCACCCCCAGTTAACTTACGAGGCCGGGGGAAACAGCCCTCTGTAGTTCGTTATCCCGCTCTCAGTTAGCTAATTATTCTAGAGCACTCCCAGAGTTCCTACGGCAGCCTCTCTCGTTCAACACCTTGTAACCTAGGTATTTAACTACCTAGGTGCGGGGACTACAAGGCGCCATAACTTGATCAGCTACCCAAAAACCCTAGAGAACTCTAGAATACATTTCACTGCCACAAGCATATAAAAGAAACGAAAGGAAAGTGATGAATAATAAAGTAATTAGTGAGGGTTTGGGGTGAGAGATGTAGAGAGGTGGGAGGAGCGGGGAGGGTCATCAGTTGAAAGGGATAGGGGTGGAGGGGGAGGAGTAGATGGGTAAAAGTAGATAGTAGAAGTAGAAGAGTAGATAGTAGAAGAAGAAATATTACCTCCATCCATTCAAGACCATTACATACAAGACAAGGAATGGAACTTGTCTGTATCACAATATTCTCAAAAGATGTTATCAAGAGGTCATTATTAGTATGTTCCATCTGTATCATGTACTCATTAAATCATGAAACCAGTAACCGCAGGGGCTTTCTCACCTCAACTCAAAAACTCTAGGGAATAAAGTTAAAGACAATTTAAATAATAAATTCAACAATTATATTTTCCATGATAAATATCATAATGTAAGCGATTCAACTTAATGTTCAAGATACAAAGTGAGTCATTATCCAAGAATTCGAGAACCCTGCAACTTGACTGCCCCTGATCCTCACACAACACTTGTAAACACGACCAAGTCACCTTTCATGCTCAGCTCACCAAGTGTCTGCCTATAGTTGGA